AAGACGACAAATACCCTAAACCTTAGACCTGATAAAAGGTTTACCTTTAAAATCTTGTAGTAGCATAGAAGATCAAAACAGCTAGAATTTTAGCGGAACGATTATGCAGGCATAAATCAGACAAATTGAAGAAAAAAAGAGAAAGGAAAAAACAATGTTGTCTACGTAAAGTAGGAGATAAACAAAACCCAAAACAATTTTACTTAATAACATTCGAAATAAAAGAATAGTTTGAAGTTGTATGCCACAAATGCAAGTGTGCTGGAACCTGTGCATCTGCAGATTGAGGCTACTCATATTTTTACTAGGATATTGAATGTTTGCAAGAGGCAATAATGCACGGAACCTTGCAAAATGAAAAAGTGGAAAGAAAAAGAATGTGGAAAAGTGCGGGGGAACAGCACTAAGTATGAAAACATTGTAAAAAGGCAGAGTTTTCAAATGACAGCTTGAAAAGTGGAGTCAAAAGATACATGTTACGTGTTAGGCTATAAATGCAGCAACTGAATTACATTGGAAAATTAATCTTTTGGACTACATTACTAAATAACTACTTAGAGTACGTATCTGCAGTACGAATTTCGAAGAATCTGCAAAGCAAAGCTTGGATTAAAAAACTGTTCAAATATTCAGTGAGCACGACTTTTGCTCCACGAGATGTGGCTAGCATTATAGAAAGAGAATAAAAGAATTTGGAAAGAAATACATGCATAGAATATGTGTACTTTTCCAAATTCTCATTAGCAGTCAACTGTGGCAAAGGCAAGAAAGCGTCGCGCGAAAAAGTCGCCAAAAAATTGATTGTTTAAAACCACATGAAATTCAATGTACTGCTTTTCGATGGAAGAAGGTTTAGTTTGAGGCTTGTTAGAGAGAAAATAATGCAAAACATCAACGTAATAAAATCTATTCAAAAATTAGATGAGAAGCAAAGCGTGCAGATTCCCTTCTACGAAATGTAGTACAAAAACGATGGCTGCTCATAGAATGCGACAGTCGAAGCAGCCCGCAATTTCAACATTAAAACGTTTGACGATGAAAATTTGACGAAATGTTGGGTTATATCGTGAAGATTCTAGTAATGCTGCAGTTAGAAAGGCGCATTTGAATATTTTGCTTAAATTTTCCTTCATTCTCAAAATAATCTGTGTTCGGGACGTCCTTCTAACTGAACATCAGTGAGTCGCTAATGCAAGAAATAAAGTATTATGAAAAAAATCGAAATATCAGACAATTCTGTCAACCAAGCG